TCCAAGTGCACGTGGTCAACACCGTTGCAGACACGTATACCCAGGAAACAACAATATGTGGCCAAGATAGTACCAGCATTCCCCCAATATACCACAACTGCGGAACCCCAAAAGTTCCCCGCTCCATCTTCTCGGAACGTTCCTCGGTTGCAATAATCTGTCAATGCTGAGTACATCCAACATGTCCATTTCCCAAAGAACTACCTCCTTCACAGCCTGTGGTGCTATATCTCCCTTACAGTCTGTGTAAGCACTTGTCTGCATGCCTGTATCAACCATCCATGTGCGTACATGATGACCAACTGTATCTGAAGTAGCCAGTTAAAGCAGATACGCAAAGTAGACTATTTGTTGAAAACTTTAGTATCTGTTTACATCGTAGAATAGTTGTCTAGTGAGGCGGGGGGAACATGGAGGGAACACGGGTGCTATCACAGCTATTTATGAGCTTGCGCCCCAGTGTGCCGTGCATGTAGAGTAGCATCTCTGCTTAGCATGCCTTAGACAAAATTTGCAACCATCCAAGTGTAGTTGTAATACATAACTGGCGCAACCATCGATGGTTGCGCCACGCGATCGCGGCGAAGCCGAGCAACTGCAAAACATTTCAAATCAACTGCAAGTATGGATATGTCTCTTAAATAGATGATACTTTTGGCCAGAGGGAGGGGGTGGGTACCTTTTTAGAGAACGGAACGCGTTTCGACGTTGGTTCTGTGTCTGGGCCCATGCAAATGATGAATGTTTCGTGTATGCTCAAAATCCGATGAACGAGCCAGGGTTTAGGAGTCAACATCTACCCCAATTGCAAGAAAATTATCATCGGTCATGACGGGATCCTGCAATATATACAACGGGGGGGCGGACTTGGACCCCTAACAGCTAACAACGTACTATACCCCCCCACACACACACACATAATTTCAAAATTTCATAACTTCCAGATCGAATGTCGTACCGAAGTACCACAAACAATGACTGGTCTCAGCTGCTGCTTGCTCCCTCTCTTGATTGTTTGATACATGCACACCTTCGGTTCGATCTTACATGCTTTCGTTTCACTCACTTTCACAACCCGAGAGTCGCTTATTTACTCCAAACTTCGATCGCATGTCTGAGATGATACACCCTACTGGGTACGTACGGATTGGGGCAGCAGAGACAAAACTTAACCGCTGGGGATTTCGTTCTCCGAACAAGACGCTTGCTGAAAAGGCTGAGCTTTGCCGCTTCTCTTTTCGAACCAATGACATGCAGCGTGTAGGTCAAGCGGCAGACAGCAACAAAACATCGTCCAGATCCTCTCCAGGGTGTACCCCTCCGAACACAAGCATCTCTCCCTCCAAACCAACAGCGCACGCCGCGTGAGCGAAACGACCAGCTGGTGTTGGAGAAATTTTTGGTTTCGTCCACTCTCCACATCCTACATCGTAAAGATGAAGATCGTCGGCCACGATTGTGCCCCTGTTTAAAACAGACAAGCAGGCGGATGTCAGCGGTACTACTGTAGCAGTGTACTCTTGGTGCAATCTAGCGCAATCCAGATGGTAGATCAATGAGTGCGCCAAACGTGCTCTTAGGTTCTTAAGAATGATCATGGGGCGAGTTCGTATTCTTCGCACGTTCAAATCATATTTCCAATCCCTACTTCAAGAGGAAGTGTTAGGCCCTGCCGAAGACGCCAGTGTATAAAGATTTGACCCGTTCATAATTAATCACATTTGAGCTGTGTGGAACTCTCTTGTCCGACCACAGGTGCAGGTTGTTGCTGCTCTCCGTTGTTCTCATTCTCTTGAATAACGCTTTCCCAAGCCAACTCACAGATCCCAAGCACACACGATTACCGGATCGTACGCACACTGAACAGAAGGGCACATGCCTCGACATAAAGCCCTTCTAGTATGACGTCGCGTCATAGCATCTGACGACGCCAAATAACCATGGTCAACCACGATCGCATATCTACATCCAAATACCATAAAAGAACCCCGCAGTAAAGATGCACAATGTTGGGTCGAGGTTCATGTGCTCATTCACTGAACCGCTCTTAACAGGCGACCAAGCAGGATGTAGTGCGGGGTCCATCGTAAAGCTGCGTTTCAGACTGGTACAACACATTTACGTTTACTTTCGTGCCGATCTCGGCCAACTGTGTTTCCCAGAAGAGTTACCGACTACGGAGGCGATCTGCATCCAATCTGTGTGATCGTACAGTAGTCACTTACCCATCCCATCCCCCGTAGATGGCCATGGTCCCTGCGGCTTGTACGAAACAAGCTGAATGGGCGCACCGGGCAACAGGAGCATCTTTTAATCGCTTCCATGTCCAGGTATCTGTGAGAGTTATTACAGGCAGAAGAAAAAGCTTCGCGTCAAGAACGGAATTTCTGTGACGTATTTATTGGACCTATCCTAGAGACGTGACACACAGAAACATGAATATATGGATAGTCTCTCGCGCGCTTATACTGATTTTAAATTCCCTTGATCGACTACACCGCGCAATAGCTGAGGCCGGGTAGTTACGATACTCGCAAAATGAAAAAACCTACACCCAGAGAGATTAGTGAGTCGAAGGATCGATACTTCCAAACGACGCCATTTCATTTCAGCGTTGTTGGATTCCCCAAGGTATTTCTTCAATCAAAACCAATCAAAGTCGCACACGGATTGCAGGGGTCGCTCTATTCGATCGGATCCCGCGGGGCTGCTCAAAGTGGATGCATACACGGCTTGCAGGGGTCGCTTTGTTCGATCAGATCCCGCGGGGCTGCTCAAAGTGGATGCATACACTGCTCAAAGTGAGACTATTAACACCCCCACTACCGATAACCACGGGTGTTCGTGGCACAATAGCCAGAAAAGGCACACTACTCGCCGGCAAGCCCAAAACCGGCCGGCTCACGCGGTTCTTCGAGAGAAAACGTCGATCGCCACAACTGCGAACGAGGCCGATGATCACAGCAAAGCTGAACCGTTGATTTGCGCGTTCTCGTGCGAGAGAGGATAGTTGCAACATTTTTCCTGATATATACAACATCCTACAGCATCAAACCTTGGGCATGAAAAATGGACTGCAAAGCCACCAATTGTAACGGCTGTTGCTTCCTCCTCCAAAACGTTATGGGCGGAAAATCAAACCCATATGGAGTCAACAATACCCACACAAACCAACTACCCTCTGACGTTGACTTCTTCCAGTCACTCCATTGTAATTTTGCGACATATTTGGCACCCTTCGGTGCTGCAACTTTGCCAAAAAGCCATGGCACCCACAGCGGCACACCAACCCCCAAGGCACCTCGTCATTTATTCGGCACGATGTTCGTCAACATTTGAACTGAAGCGTACAAAACTGCAAGTAAGAAAATGCTTCCCGCTGGCGCTCCCCCTCACGCTACGTTTGTTTTAACTTCGCTCCCGAACCATTCTTCGTATTAACAGAGTCTGCCGATCTCTCTCACTTTCAGTAGAAAATGTCAACTGATTTTGGTACTTTGACGACTGAATTTTCATTTGTTCGAACATCTTTAACATCTGGCCTGGCACGTTGTTCTCTTATCAGAAATCAATGGTTTATTAGTACCTGTTCTGAGCTCAAACAGGTCACGAAGCACACCCCCAGCTGAACGTCCGCCCATGACCAATATTGTAGTCGCCCGTTCACCCGTCGTCCCCTCGGAGTTATAAGCACAGGTCGAGTGCATCTCGCGTGCGGCTGGTACTCCTCCAACGCCTTCCGAACAACGTCGTTCACCAGTCCCTGATTTGAACGGCTTGCAGAACACTCTCCGACAGGCCAAGTTTGAACGATCCGACAAGTCGATGGTGAAAACGTCGTCCGTTTGTCCCTCCGGGGAAGCCCCTGCGATGACTATCATGGTTTCCCCATCGAGTACTGCAGTGTGTGCATTGCGAGGAGGGATGTCCACGCAGGGAAGGGACACCCACTCCATACCCTCCGTAGATCCTGCACAACAATGAATCCCAGTTGGGTGACGCGAGGGGTTGTGTTTTGGTTGATCAAGCTACGGTTCGCTGCTGAGGTCCTGTACAGTTAGACTTTGGAGCAAAATCTACCGAAAAAGACGCTGTGGCGAGGAGATTGAATCTTAACGACACGGCCGCACGTTATGGAACAAGCGCACTGATACTATGATGGCAGAACCGCGGACAAGATCACGCCGACATACCCACCGGGTCGGAGCTCGAACAGGTCGTTGAACGTCACACCATCCTGTCCATTCATACCGCCGTAGACCACCAAAGAATCTCCGAGTGCGACCGCCGAATGACCATTCCGCGGGGAAGGTGGCGCACCACTGACAGGGGTCTGCTTGCAGCAGAGTGTCGCGGTCCTTTCGGGTGAGAATAGCGACATGTATATGTTCTTAACGCGTATCTAACGGAACGCGCCTCTTCATGTGTCACAAGGGAAGAAAGACCATACTCTGCGTACCATTTGCCATGAACCAACAGAATCGAATCCCAATTTATTGGCAAATGTGCTCACATGCACATGATGAAGGATGAAAGGCTGCACACTGTGTTCATCACCGCGTTTGGCACATCAAATTAACACGTACCTTCTCCCATTTCCCTATTGCCGCGTCAAAGCAGTGGATGTCGGACAAGTGCTGCTGATGTTCGTCCGCCCCTCCAAACAGGACGAACTTTGAGCCAACCTGTGCGCCACACGACACATGAGGTATCGTCTGTACATCATGCAAACTCCTGCATAGAAGGTTGAAACAGGTCGCGAAATTTCTGTGCAGATCGAACGCTGACGGCCGGATTCGAGGCCTTGCCCGCCAACAAGACAGCTGAAAGATTAACAATGCACGCACCAGTTTCACTGCATCCTACGTTTGCTTCCTGATGCTGTGGGCACAACACGAACAGGCACTAGATACAATCGCTTACCTCGAAGCCTGTGTCACAGACAGAAGCATGGATATTTGCTCAACCGGAGGAGAGGATTGGCGAGAAATAAGCTGAGCTGGCTGTCATAGCAGTGCTGTTCGGTGCTTGTAAGTGACTGTTAGCTTCGTTGCCAGCAACTGGAATGCAGAAATGATCTGGCACGTTCTACTTTCCTCCGTCGACCACGGAAACACGGAAACACGGCGGTCCTGTTTTCATCCATGTTCTCCAAACCACCCAAACGGATGACCCATGCGCAAAAATCACATGCGAATGCATCAACAAACACGGGCTAGCGTTCTCGGTGGTGACTTCTGCCCACTCTTGCTGTTTGTCTACTAGACGATACATCCTTTGTGGCATGCAGGCTTCGCGGTTTTAAGCTTGTTTCGGTTCGTGTCTGGCGTAAAACCTCGCTGATTGCAACACAGTTTGTGACTACACCCCAACCTCTACGAGTAAGGGTAGAAGTAACGTAGCCCTGACCTTCGTCCACGAGCATCCCCCTCTGGGAGGTGGCTGCTGCGTCGAAGAGCTTGCCGCTATCGTTTTGCAAACCCAAGTTTCACCACGTGATGATCGGTCTCCGATGCCGCCTACAGATGGATGTGCCACCGCGCCGGTGCTGGTATCACTCGCTGGCATCCCTACCTGGAGCGGTCAAGATCCAATAAGAAGCACTTCAAGCTCGGAGCGTCATGTTTCATAATTACTGATCCGACCAGATGCAACCAAACCTGCCTTCTCTCACCGCGCACTCCATTTGGTCTCTGTGTACCTTCGCGGGGGCTATCGTTCTGCCACGCCGGTCTGGAGTGTGAGTGGATTGCCTGGGCATGGGTTGTCGCAAAGCTGGGAAACCAAATAACAACCACGTGCCATGAGAACCCGGAGCACAACTAGTCTACAATGGTAGCCAAGTTATGTAGTTTTCGGGGTCGGGTCATATCGTGCGACACAGTCAGGGAATAGCAGGGAGGTATGAACAGATTGCGACGACAGGAGCTACAGTTGTTGGTCGGGGCTCAGGCGAGCGGATGGACGCTTGAGGAACACCCTCGCCAATGGTGCGCACTTGAAGTGTCTGCTTTCTCTGACAACGGGTCAGGCTGTTGTCCAGTCAACACAACTATCGTACAACTACAGTAGTACAGCCGTAGTGCGAATCATGGTGCACCGCAGGCAGGGAAGGATGCATAACACACGGCCCCGTAAATAAAACTGGACACATCATAATCACATAGTCACATGAGCGCCTCCCTTGCTGCAAAGTTTCTAACCTTTCATTTATCCGCAGAAGTGTAGCTGCTGTGCTTACAGCAGCTCCGTAAATACATGCAGTGAGAGAAACTATACGGGGTAGGTACACAAGACGATCGTTAACGAGCCCTCATGCCGCATTGCCTCAGAATACACTCCTGAAGAGTTGCACACCCCCCCCACACTCTGTTGTCCTTCGCTTGCGACCCAGTACTGCTGATGCTTGTGTACGGTACCTTGAATCTTCGAAGGGAACGTTGAAAGATCAAGATACCACCAGCGCCACTACACTATTTACATAACACATGTTTTACGCCATGGCAGAGGTACGCTTGTAGTCTAGATGCGGCCTGTTGTCACGTCGTTGTCCGGCTGCATGTATACATACTAGACCCCGAGTGGGGGGAGTTTTTTCCGCGCGCACCATCACAACAGCATAACCCGTGCTGCGGAAAGTACCTGCAGTAGGCTGGGTCGTGCGCCCCCCGTGAGTATGTGTTGCTTTTGTTTTGGTACACACACCCAAAACGTTGTTGATGCGATGTTGTTGATGCGAATCGTTGTTGTCAGCACTCCGTATGCGT